CACACAGTAGCATTACAGGAGGGGAGCAGAACTGGGCTCCACTGGGCTCTGATAATCAAAGGGGGCGCTGCACGTGGGGATGGATATGATGCGACAGGCTGAGGGTTGAACGAGTACAACGCCCAGCGTGTGGTTCTGTCCCGACTGCCAAGGGCCCAGACCGGACAGGAACACCCTGCGACCTCTCACCTCATTCAACAAGGAGGAGGAGGAGGAGGAGGAGGAAGAATGCTCATAAAAATGAAGAAGCAGTGTAAGTGGTAGCCATTAGATTTGATTATTGCATATTTGTGACACACTGTTTTAGGTGTGTGTGTGTGTGTGTGTGTGTGTGTGTGTGTGTGTGTGTGTGTGTGTTAACATTGTTTGGAATAAATTGCAATTAGATTTGAATTAAAATTAACTTTCTGACTGTGTTGTTTTGGTCTTACTTTTGTAGGAGGGGACATAAAATGTGCGTAATGATCAACAATGAGACAATCGATTTACTGTTTTCAGTCTAGGAGCTGAAACAATTGATTCCAAACATTTGGTTTTACTGTCAGCAACTGGCGGAGTTATTTTTTATTTATTTATTTATTTTTGATGAAGCTGCCCAGAATAAAATTGGGGTTTCCAGTAAAGATTTAAATCACTAAAGCCAGTCATTTACGGTCCAGAGCGTAGCAGCAGACTTTTGCTCTGATCAAATAAAGTCATTTTTCTTCACTTCACTTCATTTTGTTTTTATTTATTTATTTATTTTGGTGAGATTTTTTTGTAGAAATATCCCTGCGGTGAAATTCTCTGTAATTATTCAGCCCACCAACACCAGCTCATCAATTTAGACACACTTCATCATATAAGAGAAATTAAGCCTGGCTAACTTCAAATACATTGCATGCCAACAATAGGATTTGTTTGAAGCAGTGTATAAAAAATACACATAATCCCGTAAAGTAAAGCTCTCTTCTCACCCCACCCATTATTATTTTTTTTACCAATGTGTAGGAATTCCTTTGAACACCCTTTTTTTGTTGTTTTAAACCTTGAATCGCTGATAATTTCCCAGAAGTCTGCATGTGATGATAGGATGGAAATCTGGGAAAAACACACACACATCAAACGCAACCTTTGACCTGCAGACACACCACTGTATTGTCCGCTCGATGCCTCCCCCCACGTTTGAGCCGCGGTCACGGGCCCCCACAGTGGCGACAGACGCACATTAAACCAGATTAAAGAGGCCACGAGAAAGGGCCAAAAGGCTGACGGCAAGTTCAATGCAGTGCCTGCGTCACCGAGCGTCACAGGAAAAAAAAAAAGCGGAGGCTTTCGCGATCGACCGAGCACGGTAAATGGAACGGGAAGTTTGCCGGAGCCGCGTCGCGCAGAGCGGCGATTCACCTTGATGGAAATAACTTTGAACTGGTGGCACAGTTGTTAGAAAGAAGCTCAGAGGACCATGTGAAATAGCATAAACATTGTTTAATGATCCACGCAGTTTTATTGAAGATAAACATCTCAGTGAGTCAACCGGAGAGAAGGACCGCTTGATACGGTTTTTTACCTTTGGTTTTATTTTTGGTCCGATATTGTTAAATATGAGGTTAAATAGGCAACTTCTTTTCCCACACACTGTAATTGTCATAAGTGCATGCTGATGTTTGCAAACACACAGCAATCCTGGGCTGAAGTGATARCTCAGTTTTTTTGAGGTGGGGTTCTACGGAAATGTTATAAACTATTAATATCTTACCTGTTGTAGATATAACTTCAAACAGCTTAAACTGTAATTTTAATAAGACGTTTATAATTAAATTCTGAATTTTAACAGCTGCTTTTAACAGTACCTTCTATGTGTTTTATGTGTATTTTGAGTATTTTTATACAAGTATGATGCTGTTGGAGCCCTATCAAAGGAAAAATTCTGTCACCACCTGGGACAGACAATAAAGTGATTCTATTCTATTCTATTCTATTCTATTCTATTCTATTCTATTCTGAGCTGTGGTGGCTGTGTGGTTAGGGAAGTCATCCTGCAATGAGAGAGTTGAGGGTTTGATTGCCCCACTATTTAGTCACATATCGAAGTGTCCCTGGGCAGGACCCTGAACCCCCACTACATCTGATGCATGTCCCATCATTGTATGAATGTGATTTAAGCACTGATTAGTCGCTATAGAATGATCTACACTGCAAAAATTAACAACTGAAAATAAGTTTAAAAAATACTAGATTATTATCTGAATCTTCTCAAATTAAGTGAAATAATCTGTGAGTGTAGTAAGACAATTGCGATTGGTAGGATTTCTTGAAATAAGGAAAGATATCCAGGCTAAGAATGTTAATAATCTAAAACTGTCTGCTCTTGCTTAGTATTTCAGTCTCAAAACAAGTTCAAATATACTTTTTGGCTGGATATAAGCTTGTAAGACTTGGTTAGATGGCCAATTTTTGCAGTGTACCTACAGTAAATTAGCTTTGTAGAGCTGTAGAGTGCTGTGTGGATGGATAAATGAGGCCACAGATTGTAGTGTAAAGCACTTTGAGTATCCTGGTTGGATAGAAAGGCGCTATACAAGTGCAGTCCTTTTACTATTTATTTAACTAATAAGCTAACAGCTAGTCCAAGTAGGGCCAAGATCAAGGCAGATTTCTGCTTTCTATAATGAACACCGGTCTCAAAACCTTTGATAGCAGTTCATGCAAATCAATGTTTGCATGAAATGGTTATCTTGACAGAAACATTACAACACTATTACTATTCCTGTCAGAAATAACCTTTGTTTCTCCAAACTGAGCTCATTCAGAAAGCTTTCTGCAMTTCTTCTTCAAAAGATTTGAACTGTTCTTCTAAAAAACTAAAGCAGTGTTAGTTTAAATAAGCATATACTTAGCATAAAAAGTAAGGAATTTTGTGTTGGTGGATTATTTCTTTGTTGTAACAATGCCCCTTGCTAATAAATCTTATGCAGCTGGAAAGCCTGTTAATTYCTCTTTTAAGTGGTGCCACATTTGTAAGGAACATGCATGTGTGGGATGAGCTGTAGAGCTGAGTATGTGGGTTGTGGACATGAAAAAAATGCCAAATCTTCTCTACCAAACAGTTTATTTTGATATTGTTGGTGCCTATTATAAGGTTTATTACCAAGAAGCATTGCTACATAGATTGAATTTACTAAACTCAAATCTCCTTACTTTTTGTGTTAAGTCTAGTTAAGGAATGGTTAAAATTTTAAGTTGCACTGCAGTTTCCCCCCTTGTAACTGAGTCTCAGTGATCTCTCTGTTTACTATATGTGATAAAACATTTAAATGTTTTATTCAAGTGAGAATGAAAACTAAAAACGCCTTTGATAGTACCTCTACTTCACTTTAATTTTCTTTTCTGGAAATCCAACAAATCCATAAAAAAATTAAATATTGACAACATTGTAATGGATAACAATAAATACAAGTAATTACATAAATATACAGAGATATGTTTGTAACAGACTAATACTGCGCAGAGGAGACATACAGTGTACTTATTTCAAGAGCCTGTTGATATGTTTGCTCGTACAGTGCGGCTATTTTGATTGACCACAAATCAATCAAAGTGCTGAGAGTGAAACATGGAACTAATCACATAAAGTGTTTTCTTTAGTAATTTAACCTGAGTTTGGTTTTTACACTGCCTCATAATCACACACGGGAGTCACTAAAAGCAGTAGTTCTCATTAGAAAATCATTTGTGGCTTAAAAAATGTACTTACTGCTGTGTTAACAGGCCCTTAAAATAAGGTGCGATGACAGTACAGAGTTTTTATGACCAGGGGTAGTCGGCAGGGTGGGCTGCAGGTACAGTTACCCCTAACCACAGATTCGGGACCATTTTCCAATTTGCTTTGAACGGATGGAGAGCAAAAATGAATGAGAGATGACACAAATCTGTGTTTAGGGCCGTTACCYGCACTCTAGAGCTCCAACAACTCATCTTAGAAAGCACTATGCCCTCCAGTGCAAAGGAGGAGAAATACACAGCATGGGGGGCGTGATCCTAACCAAAACTGAGGTAGACACATTAGGCTGTCTCAGAATAAGAGCTCCGTTAACTTCCTCTGTGGTCACATGTTAAAAACACAAAACAGTCTTTTCTCTTAGGCAAGTTACTGTACTCAAGTGACAAAGACAATTTCATATACTTTGAACAAAACTGTGGTACACTTTGCATCTAATCAGTGCACACGCTACTCTTAAAAAAAATCACAGCGGAGACTGCATCAAACAGCAAATTGACAAGAAATACAAAAAAAAGGATAAATCCTCGATTTATACGTTCAGTCTCCCTTAAAGCACCGTTGAAGTAAAGGCTATTGTTGTTTAATGGCTAGTTGTGTCATGTTTTTGTTTCAAGTGAGGTATAAGCACAGAACAACTCCTAATACTATACAGAGCAAACATTAACTAAGACAATATTWAAAAAAAAACACTCAAATCAAGCACCTTTAAAGGCACAGAACTTTTAAACTACTGGTTTGGCCACACTATGAAAATCTGCATCAAAAACTACCYAAAACTCCAATAAAATGGCTGTTAGTTCTAATTCCTACATTGTCCTATTCAGGTCGACACTTCTGCTGGTTTATTGGTACATGACTGGAAAATACAACAGCTTWTTGTTAGTAAATTAAAAAAATACATGTGCCTTAAAACAAACTGAATTGTCTGTATGTAATGGTTTTTAAAGATGTGCATAAAGCAAAGGGATGACTATATAGTAAATTTTTAACATATATAAGCACCTCATAAGTGAACAATATGAGCCATTCTTTGGATTATAAGGAACAAGGCATTGCAACGTATATTCCTGATATAAAAAAAAAGGTTCAGCAGTGTTTGCATATGAACAGTGATTGGCTAAATGTGTGATTACAGAAAGCTAATACACAAAATAACCTATTTTTTAAGTTTGTACTATATACATGAGATAAAAAGACAAAAAAAATATATATTTACCTTAATAAATT